AAAGAGTTGAAAAGAGCACATGGCCGGCATCCAGGTGTTGGCTCCAAAGATCCGACGTAAAACTATCCAGCAGGTGGACAAAGACGGTGTGCTGTCAATCTTGGTGCAAACTTTGACTGGACTCGCTGTCTCGCTATGCAGGCAGGCAGGAATGTCGGTGCTGCTTGCAAAAACTTATACAAACCCTCGCATCCTGAGCTCGTCAATCGGCATTTGCTTGGGGCGTTGCATCTCTATGGGCATGTTGTTGTACCGTATTGCTTCAAACGCAAAGACAATCAAATCGCCAGAGTGCTGGCCCAACCTAAAATCTCCTAAAGCCTAAAGCCCTAAGCATCCGAAATCTCTAAACCCTCCTAGAGCACCTGCACCCAGTGAAGGGCTTCCCAGTGAAGGGCCCACCTACGCTCATGCTTATGTTGCAGAGCTCTTGCGCAGCACACTAGCATTCTAAACTTGTGCGCCCTTAACAATAAGGCGTTCTGTGCAGCACCCTGTGCCCTGCAACCTTACCGAAAGCCCTAAGCCATGCTTTTAAAGTCTCCATCGAAATAGTTCTTTGAGAGTTAGGTTCGCCTAGTGTTAGTCTCAAGTGTTGCTTACGCTGTTTTTTTGGGTCCCGGAGTCAAGCTTCATGTGCGCTCCCAAAGGGCATGAGCTGCATGATAGGTCTGGCCCCCATCAGACACGGTTAGGGTGAGTGCCTAGCGGTTTTCGTGACTTGGCCAATTTCCCAGTATGATGCTGGAACCTGCCAATGACCAAACCTCTCGATGCGTGCGATTTCTGCTCTGAGGTTTTTTAAACTTTAACTCTTCAGCCAAACTGAAGTTTTCCCTTCGCCGGTCATGGCAAGATTTTTTCGCCGGCAGCAGCGCAGCCCCTTGGTTTTGCAAGGAGCTTCGTCTATGTGGACCGCCGCATGTCCAAAACAGTTAGTTAGGGATACTGCTGGTTGTTGGAAGCCGCTCGCTACAAGCATTTTAACTTTTCGTACTTTTCCGACACCTTCAACCTCTGAAATCGCGCGCCCCCCCCCCCCCCCCCTGCAGCCCCCACGGTGAGGGCCGTAGGGCCAGCCGCGGTCTAGTTGGAAACGAAACAATCTTTGCACACAGTCACAGACCGTAGATGCACTGATCCCAGTCGAGAGGCTGCAGGCCCCGCACATCCCGACGAAGGACTCGCGCTGGCCATCCAGGCTGCCACCTGAAAAAGCGTGGCCATAAGCCTCAGACTCTAGAATTCGGAGAGGAACTCAACAAGACAAGCGGCAATTACACAAAAATGAAACGCTTGGTGCATGTGTCAAGTGTAATCAAACGGAAGGGACGGCCCAGCACTTCACAGCCAACCGAAGCCGATCACGGCCATGCAAGCTTCTTCAAGTTAATGTCTTCAAGCGTGTTCGATGCGCTTTAGCTTTTTGTTTTTCACTCACATGTCTTCCAAGGCTGCCTCTCTGGAGCCATTGCCTTGTGTGCTCTTGTGATGCTCCATCTCTGCAACAGCGAGTCGGCCTTCGTCGGTCTTCCGTGGCCGCCCCAGTTGAGCTGCTCAATCATCTGTAAGTGACATGTGGACGGAGGAAAATTTGAGAATGCGGGAAGATGGGTAAATTGGTAAATGCGGGTTCTCACATGCGATCTCCTACGTCAGTGGTCAACAGTGTAGAGTTGGTGCTCAAGCGAATAGATGCGGCAGGATCAGGAAGTGAACAAACAGACCCTTGGCAGGCAACGGCTGGCCACCAGACAGGAAAGGCAAGAGGCCAGGACGACCAGGCGTGGCAGACAGCGAGCCCTGCTTGCGATCTTGAAGGGTGTGGTTTGAAGTTCTCAGTGCGTGATGCAACGACACGGCAGCCCAAAGCCGAAGTTGGGTTGTGGTGAAAAACACTACATGTGCAAGCAAGTTCCACCTTGTTCCACACGCCCTCATCCACCATAGTCTGCGCTCGGTCAGATCTGGAAGCTCCCCTGACCAGGTACGAGTCATCCAAACCATGGGAGGCCAGAGGCACGAGTCCATCGAGCCCTAGCTGCCCTAGCTGCAGGGGTCCTTCGCATCTACCTGTTGTGCTTGTGCAATTTGTGCAGATCTAGGTCAAGAGCCCGGTTTCTTGCCAGGACAGTGGAGGCCAAACTCGAGGAGCACATGAGCATCCCAGAGATCTTGACTCTTGTTCATTCCCTGTTCATGTCCTATGCCTGCGGTTTCGGTCCGACTTCCCTCGTACCTGCTCCCGCAACAACTGCCCATAAACTGGAGCCAAATTTTTTGGCCGCAGAGGCACAAAATCAGAACGTTCCATGGCCAACCATTCGAGGACAGATGGCCCTGAACCGGCCCAAACCCTCAGCCTCGAAGAGACTCCATTTAGGCATCTCATGAAGAGGCTCAAGCTCAGCAGCTGAGAAAAATCAGCATTCGAAGGTCACACACATGGAGCTCTGGCACTAGGAAAGCCGCAGGAACATCACTGAGAGTCTTCTTATAAACTGTTGTTCGTCTTTCTGCTTTGCCGAGGAACCGCTATGGCTTGCCAGCGCTCGTATTCCACTTCACAGCCCTTCCTCTGCAGATCTCTGCAGGTTTGAGTCCAGGAGTCCACGTATTCCTGGTAGTCGCATGTAGTCGCCACGTTCAAGTCGTTCATGTGCGGCAACCTTAGGAAAGTCTGCTTCGCTGTTCGTCAACGGCATTTTTAGTGGGATCGAAAAAGGAGTATACTGAGACTGTACTGAGTATACCCTTCAGTTCCTTGTCGCATTTTGCACTCAGGTTTGGGTTTCAACCCTGGCATCGTTGTATGTGCTTCTGACCTTCAACACCAGCCTTCTCCAGATCCTTCCAGAGGAGCTTGGTTCCGCGCAGCGGGTTGTTTAAGCGAGAGTGTTCAGATCGGTAATGAGCTTAGGCCGTGCAAAGGAATGCACAGGCTGATCTTGAGAACATCGGCTGACAGAGGGCGCACGAGAACTGTAGCTGGCAGTACCTGCAGAAGAGAACTAATGTCGGCTCACCTACTTGCGACATTGTTCGCAAGTCTAAATTGTCCCTCAGCCACTCCAGCGCATGCTGCAAGGAGATTCAGCAACGAGTTGGTGAACTCCTCAGCCGACGCAGCCCTCCACACCAACCTAGTCTTCATTCATTAGATGGTGTTCCGGAGCTAGCCTGGAGAGACGCTACTGTAACTGGTTCGGATTGTTGATTTAAGTAGTCTGCCATGTGCCGGACTTGTTCCCGTGCAAGTAGCTGAGGCGCTGGAAGTCAGGTAGGCTATGCTGCCGCAGCACTGGGAGCAGCTGAAATTTTAGGCTCGCTGGGTCAGCGCCAGTTGTTCGGTTCATGCAGCCGTTTGAACCGAGCTTCAATTCAGCCATGAAGCTGTACGCTTTGATTCCCATGTCAACACGAAGCTTTGTGCAGGGTGTGTTGTCGGGATTGCACATGCCCAGCCAAAAAAGAGACGAGAACGGCACATTCGGACACACTCTGCAATTGTTTGACTCCGCCAGATGCAGCCTCAGAACTGTGATCGGAAGTTGTAGAAGTTGAGGTCGAAGCTTCTAAAGCCTGCTGTCAAGCAGGCCCAATCCGACTGGCTCTCACAGTCACTGCTGCGCCAACAGCATCCAGGTGTGGAGTTGAAGTTGGAAGATGAGTAGTCTCCAAGGGCTGAGGCTGTGCCATCTGCTGACTCGCGGGTAGACCTGAAGTTTCCAGGCTGGCGAGGCAGTACGAGTGGTTCTGCAAGGCAGAGGAGGTCATTGCATCTCGGACTACAGCCGTGGCCCGTGCACACAATAGAAGGCCGCGCCGCGACTACCTGTCCATCAGCACGTGCTTTGAGTGGCTGGAAATGGGCCTGCTGAGAGAGGTAAAAGCTTCTCTGCAACTCGCTCAGGAGAGTGCGCAGGTTCTGAGAAGTTGTCTTGGGTGGGGAAACGTGCGCTGAGGTGAGCTATATCCAGAAGCTTGTGTCGAAGGTATCCCAGATTTTGATCAAGGCATGAGTCCGAAGCGTTCGACACTCTTTCGGACCAATGCGCCCAAGTACAGGTGCATGCTACTCCCTGAAGAGTTGCGAAGAAATGGTTCACTACTGGTGCCTTTGTTTGGCAGCTTCCTTCAAAACATTTCACGATTATGCTCCTTTTCGGATTGAACTCGGAGAGAGTCGATGGTTTCACTTGCAACTCGCGGGTGGTGTTGTTCGCAAGAAGCTGTCTCACACATTTGCTTTTGTGGTTTTTGTTTTTGTTTCTTAGGCTGTCAAAAGCTTACCTGTGGTGAAGCTGTCAAGGCATATGGGTTTAGTGAGTAGATCTGCCGAGCTGTCAGTAACGCAGAAGCTGTCTCACAGCACAGTTGCAGATCATGAACGGAAAGCGGAACTGCGAAAGTTCTGCATGCCATGAGCCAGCCGAGCTGTGACTCGCTGATTGTAACTCTTATTGCCCTGCCTTCAGTGTTCCCGGACATGCGTATCCTGAGCCTGCCAGTCTTCTTGGCAGTAACCCTAAACCCATCAAGCGATGACCTTAAGCGATTGAATGAAATTGAATGCTCTTTGAAATGAGCTTGAAGTTGATGTCTACATTTCTACTTAGGAGGAACGCTGACCTCCTGCATCAAGAGACATGTTCAGTTCCACAAGACCGTCGAGCGACGAAGCCTTCGGGGAACGAATGTTCACAAAGGATGCGCATACCATAGCATACTGCCGTAGCTGCAGATCTGAAGTGCTCTTTCGTTGGGGGACTCCTGAGGCCCTGTCCAGCAGCAGGGACCGCAAGACTGAGCAGCGCTGTGGTTTTACAGAGGTGCGCATAGTTTGGCTTCAACTCGTCGTCTGTGGCCAGGTTTGGCGTTTGTTGATGCTGTCACGACCGAGAAATTCTACAATTTTCTAGATGTATCCACGTGTTAGCAGCACCATTTCCTTTTAGTTTTAGTTGCACAGTATCTTGGAATTCGCGTGCCTGTGAGCCATGGCAGATGCGAGTGCGAGCTCGGCGACTTTGCCGCTTTCCTTACAAAACCTGGAGTTGGCCATTGACTGTGAGACGGACTCTTCCGTCCTGCGCGCAGTCCGAAACCGGTTGATGCAAAGGCTGAACGATCGCATACACGCTCTGGAGGCCTTTGCGGTAATCATTTCCAGGCCAAGTGGGGATCAGCGACAGCTCAGAGGATGTTTGCCCGACGAGCGCCTCGAGTCCCTGTGCGTGCGTGTTGCGGAGGAGTTCGAGATGCCAGCGAGCGCCATCCTTTTGTGCCGAGGGTCACGACAGTTCGTAGCCAAGGACCTGCTAATGTCTTTGTCAGACCTTGGAATCAATGAGGCAGCAGAGCTGACCTGCATTTACGATACCGGCTGTCGAAAACACTGGCAGTTGCGCATTGCGGTAGAGGGCTCTGATTGGGAGGCGATTATCTACAACATTGAGCTTTATGACCAGCACAACAGGCTCCTGCCCACGGAAGGACTACAGATTTTAAGCAATGCCGAAAGAAACGACCAGAATGTTGCAAACAATGCTTTTGACGGTAGGCCTGACACTTTCTGGGAGACAACTTTCGGCAGTGAGAAGATTGGAGGGTGGGTGGCCTGTACTTTCGAAGAGCCAGTTGCTATCCACAGAATCCGATTACGGCAAGGCTCCCATGTTGGCAATACGATCCGCTCCTTTGAAATCCTGAACTCGGAAGATGGCTTACACTGGACGCATGTTTGGACTGCCATCGACTTGGGGAGTGGTTGGAGCGAAGCAAGTGCCCCGGGACATCCAGGGACTTGACATCACGTGCGCAGGGCGAGCCAAAAGCTGTGGACAGACCAGCTACGGCCTATGGGGACGCGAAGTGCCGAGGTGACTTCAAGATCCTCAGTACAGTCATGAGCCCAGGTCGCCTGAGTGGAAAACGTTGAGCTCCATTCGGACAGGAACCATTCCTGCCTTCAAAGATTTTCGATTGGGATAGACAGTTTTGGGGTTTCGCTTTCCCCCCTCCCTCCAAAGTCAAAACATCAGCATTTTCGATGGTTTTTCGGGCTCGGAATACCCCGAAATGACCAGTTTCGTCATTGTGACCATTTTGGACCTTCACGAATCCCCCAATCTGGGGCCATAAGATGCGCATTTTCGCAAGCTTGGGGGCTCGGCTGTGAGGGTAGATCATTTCTGGGTGGGTTTAGTAGACCCGACCAACAAGCACGGCCCCAATGGGCACCTGAAGCATTGGGCACCCCTTACGGCGCAGCCAAAACGCCGCAAAGCCGTGAGCCTCGCACAAAAGGGCTGAAAAACAAACCGGGTTTCGAGTTGCTTTTGCACGAAGGCAAGAGCCCACATTTGTGGCATTTGGGGTACCTCAAGCTCACCGAACTAACGAACACCCCTACGTTCTGGCTTTAGGTTGTGGGTCCAGAATGAAAATCATGAAAATTGGCCATTTGAGGCCACCAAAGTAGCTTTTGGCCCTAGATTGGGGGTTTGTGAAACCCCAAAAAGGTCAAACATCAACTTGCCATTTGAGGGGTGTTGTAGATTGGGGGAAAATTGGCCATTTGAGGAGTTTCCAAGGTCTGCAAACTAGCGAAAATCCCTATGTTCATTCAAAAAATCATCCAGGATGAAGAAAGCAGAGGGTTTGGGGGGGGGTCAGGGGGTTTGGGCGAGGGGCATTCCCATACTGGCCCATACTCCTTCAGCGTTTGTTTGTCTCCTTTGTTTCCCTGCCTTGCGCAAACCTGAACGATCGCTGGGCAATCACGAGTCCATTTTGGCACAAGAGTCGAGGGCTCACCTTGGGCCATTCTGTCACCACGTGGTCACCATGGCTATGGCCTGTGGGTGGAAGACTTGGACTGCCCGGCACTCAGCTTCTCTTTCCAGGCTTGGTCAGTTCAAGACTCCAGTACAGAGTAGAACAGAAGTTTGCAGAAGCATCTCTGAAAAGGTCGTCCTACACATTGGAGCGTTCTTGGCTGTGACATCACAAGAGTCACGAGAATGTGGCCTCACAGACCAATCCGACTTCTTGCAGATCTCGCATATCCGAGAGCTGTCCAACCAGTCTTTGGAACTCGAGATGGGGTCCCAGGCCTTCAACCCGATTCTGGTCTGCATGACAGAGGCCGTGTGGATTAGAAACAGGCACCATGAGTCCTGGTTGGAAGATCGAAGCGGCCAGCCCGGACCCATGGCCAGCACACACTCTCTCGGCAGTTACCAAAGGTGGACGCTGATAAATGTCGCTGTCAACACATTCAAAATCGTAAGCCATCGTGGTGTGGCTTTGAACTCGCAGTTGGGATGGGAAAACAAAGACTCAAGCAGCAATGCTGTCCGATGGGTGATCAACCGGCCCAATCCCGCCATCGGCTATGATTTGGAGCTGGTCACCATACGCAATGCGGACAGCAAGAAGTACCTTTCCCAGAGTTCCGGTGATTTGTTGCTGTCCTCATCCACTTCGTTTGCATCCCAGTGGCGGATTTGGGAGGGCACTGGTAGCAGCAGCAACGTGGCGGCTATCGACAGGCCTGGATGCCTGCCGAAGACAGTGTTCATCACGCAGGATGGATGGGATGGTGGAACCAAGCGATGGCAATCGCGTCAGCTCCAGGACAACGGCGGTAGCATCAGATATCATTGTAACTTCGGTTCCTGGGAGTCGGGCGCTGAGTTACTTTGTGCCACTTTGCTGCGGCCTTCAGCCGCGGCTACCGCCAAGGAGTTTTAGAAGCAAAGAGGCAACAAGCATCAACCCAGCCAGTACCCAGCCAACACAACCTGGCCACACGAACTCCCTCAACCTGCGGAGAACAAATGCTGCATCGTGACCAAGCCCAGAAGCAGATGCAGAACCCCACGTTCCGATGCGGATCCCAAGTCTGACTGACGCACGAAGTCTTGAGTCACAAAACTTGAGTCCACGCCGTCACTGGGTGAAAAGTTGTACAATGTTGTACATGCATCCACCAGGGCAGACATGCAGCGGAAGTGAGTACGATCATTAGAAGAAAGTAAAGAAATCAGAACAGGTCAGCTCATGCTCAGTAACCTCCTATAGAACTACCAGCAGCCTTGCCTTGCCTTGGGCCTTGATGAGGCGTGGATGGCGTGGATCCTGTAGGTCGGAAAGAAAACGGGCCGTGGGGGTGTAAACATCTCTCAAGTGGCCCACTTGCAAACAGATCCAGGTCTATGCACGCAGTGCCAAGTTCAGATCAATCACTGTCAGATTCGCAAGTGGAGGAACATGAAGGAACGTTCTGAGTGCTCTCCAGGTGCACCAAATGACACGTGGCAGTCCCACAGTCCAAAAAGGGTCCTGTTCCAGCGTTGTCATCAAGGCAGCCAAGGCATACATTGAGGAAGTCTGCCCACTTGAATTGACCGACATTCTGCGAAGATTCGCGGCCAGGGACCCTGATAAAACAGCAGTAGGCTAACCCTGAGGCCTGAAAGTTCAAGGCTCCAGGCCCCTCAGCCCCAAACATCTGAAGCAAGCTGGTTGGGCTTCTCGAACTTTCTCGACCCCAGTATCCGAATTTCTCATTAAAACTGCTACCGGGCAAGGCCACAAACCACAACATTATGAAAAGTTTTTGCAAAGACGAAACACCTGACCTACGTGCCTTCTAGAAGCCCACGTGCAACCTTGTGTTGCAATGCTCCTGCAACGAAGGCGCTGGACTGTGCAATCGGTTGGATCCAGATGGAAATTCACAAGCCACCGAGGTTAGCGCAGGGTTGTCGGCTGAGATTGGCTGAGGGCTTAGATTCTGGGGGATTCGTGACCGGGCTGCTGATTTTCGATCCCTATCCCCAGCATTCCAGACATCTCCAGATGTTTCCAGACAGGTGGCACGCTGAAGCTGACCCGACGTCGTGGCACTCGCCTGTCTGGTGGGGGCACGCAGAATGGGTACCTTCGAGTGTCATCACTCCGTCGTCGTTGGACTACTGTCGCCATCCACGGTTGGAATGCCGATGATCTGCTATCACGTGATGGCAGTGCAGCAACAGAAGCTCGTCGAAGGCTCAACTGGAAGATGCACCACAAGATCATCAGCCCAGAGCAGATGACCTACCACCCCTATCGCAGTCAGGATAAGAGTCAGTTGCTGGCTCCACTGGCACGGTCTACGGCACAGGCGGCAAAAGACGTCTCAGAGATGGTTGGTCAACATGTCCACAGACGACGCCGGCTCTTCAACAGGTGGAGGCTGGTCGAAGAGCGTGAGAAGACGTCAAATTTCCTTTGGATTCAAGACATCGACGGCCTCCGGCTCTACGAGCGCTACGGAGTCTGTCTGCTGACGTTCACAGCTTCCAATGATAATGAAGACTTCCTCAACGATATCGATCAGGATGCTTCATATTACGACAGCGCAGATACCTCCTGGGTCAAGCAGACGGTTTCGAGTGGCGTTTACAAAGAGGCTTCTGCGTGGCTCAAGCAGTCCTGGTGGCCCGATTTCAAGAGAAAGGTGGCCACAGCGTGTTGCAAAGTGGTGACGGTAGGCCGGGATCTCATGTCTGAGAGGTGAGCGCTCCAACCTACCAAATGCACCTTTCGATAAACGTGTGAGAAGAATCGACCCAAAGCCCGACTATGATTGTGCCGAGTGCCCAGTGCTCCCAATGATCGGACCAGGCCACAGCTTGGGCGGGGCGGTGGCGCAGCTCTTCTACTGGGCGCAAGGCACGGTGCCGGGATTGGAGCAGGTTCAGGTCGGAGTGGGTGGTTTTACTAGATCCATATTCATGCTGTACGGAACCCGAGAACAACGCAATGAGTTTGAGCTTAGTTCAATGGTTAATGAGCTGGGCACTTTTTCCCAAGGCAAGAAGACTGGACAAGGGTGGTCGTGGCAGGATGACTGGCTCCCGCAGGCAACTGCGTGGCCACACATGATACATCTTGCGATGCCCTCAATTCCCCAAACCCGAATACTGACCGGCATTTCATGCAGGTTGATGCCGTCCATGCGCTTGGAGCCGTCAGTGTGGTGAACTCTTGGTACCCGATGAACGGTATGCTGTTCCCTGGCCGGGTCTGCCCTCAACCACCGATGGCCCAAAATCTTAAAAGACGTGTTCCTAAGCATCAGTTCCTGGGCAAGGAAACGACTCTTCGGCGCTGAAAACCGAGATTTCCGCACCCTCTGAAATGCAAGAAAGGCACTGTCATGCACTACCACTGTTGTGGCAATGTGGTTTTGGCTTTTGCATTTGTTTCGTGAGGTCTGAACGCATTTTCAGTGGAAGGGTTATCAAAATAGTGTGCCCAAGCATCTCTCCACGCTCGCTGCTTGCGAAGCCAAGTTGTGCATTGCAATCATTAAAATTATCCTACTGTTTTCGGGCTGGCGATTTCAGACATGTGCTTCCTAAACTGGTCCGGAGTCCAGCGATCTTGCGTCACCCAAGGCTTTTTTGTCCTCCGGCCTCACACACAGTCTTGTGCACACAAACCACTACACATATCACTCTTTTGGAGTGGTTGCGGCGATGATCTCTCAAGGAATCGTATCTGCTGTTTTGGCCAGACACATGCGCAATTCACGGTCGGAATCATCATCCGAATGACACCCTTAAGACATCTCTTCCATCAGGGCTCTGCAGCCTCAGGTTTATCCAGGAGAATTCGGACGACAACGATCCCTACCTAGACCCTGCCGTCGGATACCCCTCAAGATTCTTGCATCCAGGCCAGGGCAATTCAGTGGGCACAGGCATTGGTTGAGGGTTCGGGACTGTTTGCTGACTGAATGCAGAGTGTGGAGAGCTAGTTCTTCGTTATCGTTGTTCCGAGCGCCCAGGTCAGATGTGGACCGTCCTGTTCAGTAGGAGGAGGCGGAGGCGGAGAACGTCGGCGGACATGCAGTCGTGGCAGGGCGTTCCCAGCAAGTGGCCACCAGACGATCGAGACATCGGTTTTCGGAACTGGGATCTCCACAAGCTGGACCAATATCTCGATGAGATCGAGGACGCATACCCCATGGCCAACTAAACAGCCGGCCAAAAAGGCGACGAGCGAGGCGCGGAAAGATGCCGCGCTTGTTTTAATCTTGGCGAGCGCTGCGCTGCGGCGCAAGCCATTTCTCGCTGAGCGCGCAGCGCACTGAGGGCGCAGCGTGCTGAGCGCCCACATTCCAAGTATCCCTCAGATATCCCTTGGGGCTGTCACCACGCTGGCCTGCTTGCGGAGTTTTAAAATGTGATGACCAGCCTTGACCGGCTTTGACCATGTCGTGTTTGTTGGCTGTGTGACTGCGTGAAGTGCAATGGCCATTGACTGTGATCCGTTTCTTTGTGGCGCCGATTCATCTCAAAAAGCAGGCACAGGCCGAGCTTTAGCTGGCCGGACCTCTGAGCCTCTGAGCCTCCGGCCTCTGAGTCCGATCCGACTCTTGAGCTGTGACTGCAGCCATCGGCCTGCCATGAGAACTCAGACGCTGATCGCCCTGACCCTCCTGTGCCTGACAGCATGCGTGCAAGGGAGTTTGCTTTTTGGAACGTGGGTTCAACCAAGGTTTCAGAGGGATACCTTAGGCTTGCTTGGCAAAATTCAGCTTCGAAGTTGAAAGGCTGCCAGGGCTGCCAGGCTCTTGGGCAGCGGCCGCGGTGTCGGACTTTGCCTCAGAGGTTTCGGCGGGGAACTGCGTGGACCAGACGTGTAGAACGAATCTTGCCTCTAAAATTTACATCCAATCCAGTAATCACTCTACACACGATCACACACTCAAGCACACACACACAATCACATATACAGACAGTCACATACACACAATCGCGGACACACAATCACACTGTCAGACTAGCACACGAGTGGACGAGCGCACGAGTGTATGAGCACACAAGCAAGCACGCACACACGCGCGCACGCACACACGCACACACGCACGCACGCACGCATGCACGCACGCACACACACACACACAGACACTCATACACGCGCACACACACACACACACACACTCGGCAATGCTCGTCTCGTCGAAAGTCTATCGTACTACAGCTTTGAAGTACATAACTTTGCAGCAGTCAAAGGACTCTGCATCCGCGCAGCAAGGGGCGCTGTTATCTAAGTCTAGTCTAGTTTTTGGTCTGGATTGTCATAGGGTCCGGAAGGAAGGGTCGGCAACGTCTGAAGGAAGGGCGTGAGTGTACTGTTGCATGAATTTGCGTTCAGAGGGCCAAGACGAAGGAGTCTACTGTCCGGGCAGGGTTTCGATGCACGCGTTTTTCGGACATTTATGTTTACAGCTCGGCTGGAGGTTCATTCCAACGACTGGACACCGTAGGGTTTCCTGCCTGTGTAGGCTTGTTTAAGATTGGGGAATGCGATCTTTAAAGCTTAAAATAGTTTATGTCAAGGCATCCGGAAACTCGGGATCAGGATTTCAAAAGGTTGTGTTTTATTCACCCGGCCCAAAGCGAAGGTTGAAGACTAAGACGGGAAATTTCGGGGAAGGAGTTTCCAGGAATCTTCGGTTTGACCGCTTCTATCTGGCACGAAGTTGAAAACTCGTTGAAGCAAGTGCGAGGGGTGGGGATTCCCTTCATATTCTTACCTGTCGGCTGCAGCATAGACAAGTTCAAGGCAAGTTGCTGCATCTCCGCCCTGCCGCAGATGATAAGTTCAAAGCCAGTGCATCTCCACGCTATCGATCTTGGGTCCAGGATTTTCATGCTATGAAACGCCGAGCCGAAGATTGAAGAATGAAGGTTGATTGAGGCTTGAGGATTGAGAATTGAGCATTGAGGATTGAGGATTGAAGATTTCCGGGAAAAGTTTCTTGTAAGTCTTCAGCTTGTCTTAGTCGATCTGACCAAGCTTTGATTCGAAAGCATTGAAATCTTTGAATTCAGGGGTCCAGGAATTTAATGGTTTCAACGACTTAGTGAAAATCCGGCATATATTGTTATTCTTCTTATTCATGCTTTGATTATTGCCTCACAAAATTGCAGATATTTACACATGTCGCACGCATACTAGCAAAGCTAACCTTACTTCCAACCACCCCC